TAGCCCCCCCGGGCCCCGCGGTAGCCCCCAGCCCCGCCAAGCTGCAGGCGGCCGCCGCCCTGGCCGAGGTGGCCAACGGCATCGAGAGCACCCCCGTGGTGAGTGGGGGTCCCTGGGGGGTGGGGGAGGGTCCCGGGGGTGTCCCCAACCCCGAGTGACCCCTCCCCTCCCCCCACAGAAGCCGGAGCCGGGGGCGCCGCCCCCCAAAGCGCTGCCCAAGAAGGAGAACCAATGGTTCGACGTGGGGGTCATCAAGGGCACCACCATGATGGTCACTCACTACTTCCTGCCGGCCGAGGACGCTCCGGCCACTGACGTGAGGGACACTGGGGACATTGGGGGGGACAGCGGGACACTGGGGACATTGGGGACACTGGGGGCATTGGGATGGGATATTGAGGACACCAGGGTGGGACATTGGGGACACCACCATGATGGTCACTCACTACTTCCTGCCGGCCGAGGATGTTCCGGCCACTGCTGTGAGGGACACTGGGGACATTGGGGGGACACTGGGGGCATTGGGGACATGGGGGACATTGGGGACATTGGGATGGGACATTGGGGACGCCACCATGATGGTCACTCACTACTTCCTGCCGGCCGAGGACGCTCCGGCCACTGACGTGAGGGACATTGGGGACACTGGGGTGGGACAAGGGGGTGGGATATTGGGGACACCAGGGTGGGACATTGGGGGCACCCCCTGGGACACCCCTGTGACATTGGGACACCCCCAGGACATCCCCATGGCACTGGGGACACCCCTGTGGCACTTGGGGACATTCCCTTGGGACCATCCTTGGGTTTTCTGTGTCCCCACAATGTCACCATGTCCAGGGGTTTCTCCGGCCATGTCCCCACGATGTCCCCACATTGTCCCCATGTCCCCTGACAGGACGAGGGCTCGGGTGTCCCTGACCGCTCTCAGCTGTGCCACCAGGAGCTGTCCCCTGTGTGTCCCCATGTCCGGGGGTTTCTCCAGCCATGTCCAGGGGTTTCTCCGGCCATGTCCCCACAATGTCCCCACATTGTCCCCATGTCCCCTCTCACAGGACGAGGGCTCGGGTGTCCCTGACCACTCCCAGCTGTGCCACCAGGAGCTGTCCCCTGTGTCCAGGGGGTTTCTTTGGCCATGTCCCCACGATGTCCCCACAATGTCCCCACGATGTCCCCATGTCAGGAGGGTTTCTCCGGCCATGTTTTGGCCATGTCCCCACAATGTCCCCACATTGTCCCCATGTCCCCTGACAGGACGAGGGCTCGGGTGTCCCTGACCACTCTCAGCTGCGCCGCCAGGAGCTGTCCCCTGTGTGTCCCCATGTCCAGGGGTTTCTTTGGCCATGTCCAGGGGTTTCTCCGGCCATGTCCCCATCATGTCCCCACAATGTCCCCATATTGTCCCCATGCCATGGATGAAGGCTCGGGGGTTCCTGACCACTCTCAGCTGTGCCACCAGGAGCTGTTCCCTGTGTGTCCCCATGTCCGGGGGGTTTCTCCGGCCATGTCCAGGGGTTTCTCCGGCCATGTCCCCATGCTGTCCCCATGTCCCCAATTGTCCCCATGTCCCCTGACAGGACGAAGGCTCGGGGGTCCCTGACCATTCCCAGCTGTGCCACCAAGAGCTGTCCCCTTTGTGTCACCATGTCCGGGGGTTTCTCTGGCCATGTCCCCATGCTGTCCCCATGTCCCCACGATGTCCCCATGTCCGGGGTGTTTCTCCGGCCATGTCCAGGGGTTTCTCCGGCCATTTCTCCGGTCCCCACAATGTCCCCACATTGTCCCCATGTCCCCTCTCACAGGACGAGGGCTCGGGTGTCCCTGACCACTCCCAGCTGCGCCGCCAGGAGCTGCAGCCGGGCACGGCGTACAAGTTCCGCGTGGCCGGACTGAACGCCTGCGGCCGCGGGCCCTTCTCGGAGCTGTCGGCCTTCAAAACCTGCCTGCCCGGCTTCCCGGGGGCTCCCTGCGCCACCAAGATCAGCAAGGTGAGACCCCAGACCCAAAACGGGACCCCAGACCCAAAAATGGGACCCCAGACCCAAAACGGGACCCTCAATCCACGGGGGAACCTGTAACCCTAACGCTGACCCAACCCAAACCCAACCCAACCCCATCCCTACCCGGCTTCCCGGGGGCTCCCTGCGCCACCAAGATCAGCAAGGTGAGACCCCAGACCCAAAACGAGACCCCAGACCCAAAAATGGGACCCCAGACCCACAGGGGAACCCAGAGCATCGACCCCAACCCAACCCCATCCGACCCCAACCCAAACCCCGACCCCGTCCCTGCCCGGCTTCCCGGGGGCTCCCTGCGCCACCAAGATCAGCAAGGTGAGACCCCAGACCCAAAACGGGACCCCAGACCCAAAATGGGACCCCAGACCCAAAACGGGACCCCAGACCCACGGCTTGACCCACAGCCCAGCTTGCAGTGCCTCCTGTGTCCCGTCTGTCCCCCTGTGTCCCTTTTGTCCCCTCTGTAGCCTGACCCCTGTCCCCAGAGCCTGGACGGTGCCCATCTCACCTGGGAGCAGTGTCCCCCCTGTCCCCTCATGTCCCCCCTGTGCCCTCACTGTCCCCTCACTGTCCCTTTTGTCCCCGCAGAGCCCGGACGGTGCCCATCTCACCCGTGTCCCCTCCCTGTCCCCTCACTGTCCCCTCTGTCCCCAGAGCCCGGACGGTGCCCACCTGACCTGGGAGCCGTGTCCCCTCACTATCCCCTCACTGTCCCCTATGTCCCCTGATCCTGTGTCCCCTCTGTCCCCTCAGCCTGGACGATGCCCATCTCACCCATGTCCCTTTTGTCCCCTCTGTCCCAGCAGAGCCCGGACGGTGCCCATCTCACCTGTGTCCCTTTTGTCCCCTCTGTCCCCATCTCACCTGTGTCTCCTCTGTCCCTTTGTCCCCAGTACCTTCTGTCCCCTGACCTCTGTCCGCAGAGCCCGGACGGTGCCCATCTCACTTGGGAGCAGTGTCCCCTCACTGTCCCTTCACTGTCCCCTCCCTATCCCCTCCCTGTCCCCTCACTATCCCTCTGTCCCCACAGAGCCTGAATGGTGCCCATCTCACCTGGGAGCCGTGTCCCCTCACTGTCCCCTCTGTACCCTGACCCTCTGTCCCCTCTGTCCCCGCAGAGCCCAGACGGTGCCCACCTGACCTGGGAGCAGTGTCCCCTCACTGTCCCTTTTGTCCCCGCAGAGCCTGGACGGTGCCCATCTCACCCGTGTCCCCTGTGTCCCCTCTGTCCCCTCAGAGCCCGGACGGTGCCCACCTGACCTGGGAGCAGTGTCCCCTCACTGTCCCCTCTGTCCCCTCACTGTCCCCTCTGTCCCCGCAGAGCCCGGACGGTGCCCACCTGACCTGGGAGCCGTGTCCCCTCACTGTCCCCTCTGTCCCCAGAGCCCGGACGGTGCCCATCTCACCTGGGAGCAGTGTCCCCTCTCTGTCCCCTCACTGTCCCCTCACTGTCCCCTCTGTCCCCTCACTGTCCCCTCTGTCCCCGCAGAGCCCGGACGGTGCCCATCTCACCTCTGTCCCCTCACTGTCCCCTCTGTCCCCTCACCTCTGTCCCCTCTGTCCCCGCAGAGCCCGGAC